ATCGCACTGCTCTCAATTCGTATCTAAGCATATATTCTTGCTTTATAGATCTTACAAACCAAATTGTACATTCCTTTTTTTATACGAATATCGCTTTTTTCGTAGATATACATGTATAACAATTTAGTTGAGTAGTTTTTTCACGATACAATGTTTTTTTTCTATAAATAAACGATATGACACTTGCAACGTAGTTTTCGATGCGAGTTGGAATGGATGGCCAGTCGTACAAATGATATTGGAGCTTTTTCTTTTATTCAGATGGAATAAATAAGATAACGATAGATGTGTTAAAATAGAGCAAACAAATAACAATAAAAATGAGAAGTTTCGTTATATCGTTTTTCTCAGATCATTACTGTTCGAATGACAAACGACAACGATAATCATAAAGGAAGAAAAATACTAACAAGAAACAAACAATTAGATAAAAGTGAAGGCCCGTTTAATAAATAAAAACAAAACAGAACTCTTTCTCGTATTTATTGAAGAATATTACGAATTTCACGATGTAATTCATAAACAAAATCGATATATGATGCACCACGTGTCAGATTCTTATCTTCGACAAGGTAGTTCTTGAAAAATGGTTCCATTGAATCGCGTTGTTGAATGACAAATAGCTAAAAAGACAAAAATCGCCTTGAAGCGTGTCCTTCTTTCCATTTTTAATGAGCATACTTTCATGTGCGAGTTTCGCTCATCACGAATCATATTTAACAAGCCTCGAACGTTCTTCGATAGTGGATTATCAAATTGAGCAACACGACACTAGAACAAAACGAAAGCTTTATTCGTACAGGTCATTTCTAGCGTTCATATTTCTACCTTTTCTGGTTGAATCTGTGATGCTGCTTGAAGACCGAATACATATTGCACAAATGTTGGATCAAGTTGACTGCCGAGCCAGATGTACATAACAAGTCCATTCTCTGAAATGATAACCAATAGAGAACAATTGTAAACCTTGTGATCTTACCAATAACGTATGCTCCTGTATCAGATAAACGATCATACGAACATCGAATCATCGAAGGTGTAATATGATCCTCTTCCAATGTATGCTATACATAAAATCACAGTAGAAAATCAATCTTTGTTGGTACTATCTACAAACCAATGGATAGATTCTTGGATAAAGATATGCCGAGGTTCCTTTGACATCCATTGACATCAAACGATGCATCAACCAGCTTCGATCGTCTGTATTAAGTGTTACAGCTAAATAGAGATTAGCATATGATAAAAGGGGTGTCTCATTGCAAATAGTATTTAACATACTTCCAGTTAGAGCATCGCATTTAACCAATGATGATGAATATACTGGTAGCAGTTTTAATGTATCAGGTAAAATTAATTGACCAGCGGCACTGCCTTGTGCACAATTTTTTCGATAACAGGCTAACATATGTGCAGCTTGTGTTATTATACTACTACGTATGCTTTTCGGTGTCGAATTTAACACAGAGCGAACAGCTAAATTAAGGAAATAGGAAACACGATGTATCATCATCGTCTTTTCGTTATTATATACTGACCAACTTTCGTTGTGTAGTTCATAATTGCATCCAGATCACATGCTGGATAGAATGATGTGTATGCTGATGTAACTGTTAATGCTAAGGTTAGTATTCTCAAGCGACGTTGTCCAGATATACTTGTATAAAGTAAAGCAACCTATTTTCATCGGTAATTTCAAAATGAAGATTTCGATGGGGAACGAATGTGACTTACTTGAATATAAGTGTTACTATCGGTAGATAGTTTATCATCATGTTTTAATTCGACCGATACTGATTTGTCGGCATCAATGGCACCAAACACCATTTCAGTGGCATTCGTCATATAAAAATTACCAAGAAAGTCGATAGGGCGTATGCCTAGAACATCAATGATAATCTTTTGGACGAACGACTATTGAATTGATCGACATACCTGTACTCGTTCGTACGCGCATCAATGCATCAAAACCGATCGTTCGTTGAAAATTACGTCTTAAGTCATCTAACAGACGTTCGCCATCATTTTCAATCTAAACGATAAATTTCACTCGAATCTTTCATTCAAACATAAATAAACTTACTGAAAAAAAGTTAAATTTATAAATCTCTCCACCAGATACTCGACAGACTTCGCCGATTGTAGCCAAATCATAGTAAGCGTTAGGAAAAACAAAGAGATCAACAGCACAACCATTCTGTGCACATTCTTCACCAAGTTTAGTATAAATGTTATTCACTGGAGAAAGTAGTGTCTGAACAAGAACACTCTAATAGTCAGTCATCAACATTCAGAAAAGAACATACCGATTCCTTTTCAGTTCCGAGCAGTTTCTTATCATCCCGATTAGCTAACTTTCCTGGTGCTACAGCGATTGGTAAGGTGGTAGAGAATACATAGATTTTACCCCCGCAATTAGCTCCCTAAATATCAGCATACATAGGTCTTCTGACAATGGTTCAAATAACTTTATTCTACTTTTAAAGCTTGAATACCAGCGTCGATAGCAGGTGCTAGAACAGTTTCCGTTTCTTGTGAATTGGCAAATGTTTTTGGAATTTGATCAAGTAAACTAGACGTATGAATGAAACGAAAATAGACATGTAAAAGAACTACCGACATTTGCTTACCTATTGATCACACCACGTGAATTTTGTGGTGAACAAAGAAAGCCATCGAGTAAAGGAACAAATATTTCTTCAAGGTCAGAAACGACCATCATTTGTGGTTGTCCGAGTGAATCCTAATTAAATAAAATATTTAATATGTTTATAAGCTCAAGAATAGAGTTATAGACTATTAGACACATGAAGCGTATCATGCATATACGAACGCACATAGAAACATCATACTACTTGCTCCCTATGAGATGATCGTTCAAAAATTGAGTCAAGTGAGAGATCAAGAGGAACATAGGCTAAAATCTTACTCGAATATTGTAAAAATGGACTTGTTTGTCGAATGTTGCAAAGCCAACTCGTACTGTAGATGTTTCAGCATTTTTGTCTCTATTGAGATATGAAAAACAAGCAATTATTATTACTGGGTAAAAAAGGAACATACTTCGGTAAATAATCAAGAAGATCAGTTTTTAAAATATGACATATATAATTCACGAGACCACTACGAACGCTATTATAAGACACGTCAATCATGAAAATGAATGCCGGCGGTTCAGGCCATTTTTCATCCTAACAAAGCAGAAAGAAACAGAAATAAACGGGAAAACAAATCGACGAAAGCATACTTTACAATATTGCTTTGTTGCTGCAACTTCATACGAGCCGAGGCAAAGCTCAGGTCTTTGATACCAATCTGTACGACGACCAGTATGATCCAGATGATTAAAATATTCATTTGCCACTAGAAACATTGTAGGATATATTGATTGGGATATGAAAAAGTTCGTTTCTGAATTTACCATCTGTTGTTGCTTCACAAAAGCAGCAAACAAAACGTTTGCCTCCATCTATGAACTGCATGAATGAGCACATGTATGCTTTACAGCGTTGGCACCGTACTGGGCCAATATCACCAAAATTAGTCAATGGTGGTTCCAGCTAAATCAGATTTTAGTTACAATTTAAAAATGAGGAAAAAAACAAGTGTTACTTCATCCGTTCGTAGATTTGCTAATGGTGAGATAGATAACGCAATGGGTACATGCGATTGTTTTATCATATCCGCTGTATTGGGTATTGTATAGGTGGTCGAACGCATCAGACGTGGATTACAACTACCTTGATCTTGACAAACGAAATTTGTTCCTACCAATGGTGGTAATGAACCAGGTGTGCTCGTGACAAACGGTGCTTGAATCTTTTCTTGACTTTGTTCAAGTATTTGAATCTATTTATATATATATACGAGAATATTTATTGTGAATAGATTTGTAACTTTCGTATCAATGTAGAGAAACATCACACTTACGACACTGGGTAGTGAGTCAGTATCAATGCGAGCCTGTGGAAGCTGTGGTTGTACAGATCCAGTTGGTAATGGCTGACCAGGATAGTTCGGATAATGGACTGAGGGCGGTCGGATAGGGGTAGGATGAACATTTGGTGGATACATTGTTGGTTGACTATTTGGAGATGGTTGATAGTTGGGAAAAGATGACTGTGATCCATAAACTTGAGGATTTGGATTTGCCATTGGTGACGAAGCATCAGATTGACTCGATGGTGGTAATAGTCCTGAGTTTAGATATGAATTTTGTATTGGTGGCCGGTCTAAACAATATGAATGTGTCCTTGCAAAAGTTAATCGTGTGAGAAAACGCACTTATGCCGTTGGTCGCCATTGAAGTCTGAGACGAGTGAGGTGGATAATAGGATGGTTGGGAATTAGGAGGCATAATCGGTGGTCGAAACTGATTTGTATACATTTGAGGTGAAGACGTAGGCATCGTTGATGGCAGAGTAGGACTAATATATGTGGGTGGTGGTCCGGCAAGCATGTTATTATATTTAGATAAAAAAATTAGATCTACAAATGAAGAATATATAAATTTACGTTAGGTTTTATACGAAACTTTGTTCTTGACAAGTTGGCAATCATACACGTAGCTTAGTATTTTACACCATGGCTGTCATACTGCAGAGCAAAGTGTTTGCGTGGATGGTTCTCTATTGGTCGACGATTAAAATTTTAGCATTTCGAAGTCGAGCAATCAGATTAGCATTCTTTTGCAACTATCAATCTTTCATGCATAACGAGCTAGCTACTAGTTTATTGTAATTTTCGCAAAATTAACTATAAAACTATAATGATATCAAAGTCTCCATCAACGGTGCTCAACGACATCTAGTACCGATGAGAATTTTCTATAGAAAAGACACATCATGTTTGTCTCATTGTCATTAGCTTGATTTTCTTTTATTTAGTAATAAAATTAATATAGAATATAAACAAAAAATAAATGTTAGTTTCAATTCTTGGCATAAATATGTGCAAATATCAAAAACAGTTGTCTGTATTGTGTATGTCTATTGTTTGAATCAGAAATATAACGTACAAAGCCACGGTTCAAAAGGTTGAATTTGATATTGAACAATACTAGCAATTAGCCATTCCGGTTCAATGCAGATAATATTCAATTGTTGACAAGCTTGCTGTAACGCTGGTTTATTCTGAAGATAAGTTTTTGAACATAAGATTAGAATTTGTTTTCCGATAGTATCGATATGTTGATTCAATGTTTTTAATACGAGACCACCAGATAGATGAATCAATTCAATCAACGGTCGATTATCCGGAAATGGTTGACAACCATGACACTTTAAATGCAATGCATAATTGTCTAACAAAGGATGTTCATTGGAATAGTTTAATCGAGATCGCCGCATTCCATAATGTTGGTTGTGAATCGCATCACCGGTAATTTCATATGTTGGAATTTCATCAACATAATGTTGTTCACTTAAACATGCTGTTAGCCATCGATAGGAAATGACTTTCAGATGACGTGTTACAGCTTGTAGAACCTTGCCAGTTAATGGACAAATGAGAGAATTGCTCTCGTCTTCGTCCGTGATCAAATGGGTGGTAGTATCATCGACTGATGCTGATGAACGAACAGAAAAGCGTTCAAGAAAACGATTGAATTCCATCTACGAGACAAATTAGAAGATGAAATAGACTAAAAATACCGTCTAGGAATTCTCTACTTTTTGAGGATCTTTCAAAGCTGTCATTGTCAGCACCAATGATTGAAATTTTTCTTGATCGCTAGATGATTTATGTTCGGTGGCATCTTGTCTTGATTCAATGTTGATATGTATCGATGATCCATCTGATTTTTTCGAATGTTCACAACGAGTTTCATTGATAACCGTTGACGTATCACGTTGAATAGATGATGATCGTTGTGGTTCAAGTTCAATTATAGGAATCGATTCAATTTTATTGTTGATAACATATGTCTCATTCATTCCGGTGTTATTCTATGCAAAAAAAGAAAAGGAAAATGTGACGTATGATTTACGATTGACGCCTTACGTTTTGTACAGTAGGCGGTTCGATTTCGTTGATAATTGGAGTTGATTGAGATGATAAATTTTGATGAGTTCTCAACTGTCGTTTATTGTTCTTCTTGACTGTACTGCTTATCGTTGTCGAAAATGGATCTGGTGGTGTGATCGTAATTGAATTACGGAAAAAGATTGCCATGCTAGCCATGAATAATTGTTCGGAACGCGTATAGATTTGAACACATGGACACACACTAACATCATTACAATGATGATGAGTAGGTTGGCAATCTTCATCGCCATCAGTTTGAGTGGCAATAGAACAGTGTGCTTTTTCAATAACATCGGGCGTCATGGATGTTTCTTGATCTTGTCGATCGATGGTCAATTCAACAGGCGGTTGGACCACTACTGATTGATCGACTGATTGTTTTGGTTCGAGATTAGTCATTTGGACGACCGATGTGCTTGACTGTATCGGAATATTCGTTGAAATAGTCGTGGCGTTCATAGATAAGGTTGATAGAGCGAGTAATGACGGTGGTATTTGAGTTATCGTCGGAATAGACCGATGTGAAGCAATGTATGTGGCATTCAAAGGCATTGCTGGTGAAAGAGGTGCAGCTAGGACAGATGAAACATGTAGTTGGTTTTCTGATCTTTCTTCTTCTTCTTCATTTGTTTCTTCTGGTTGTATCGTTGATACTGATTGAACAGGTAGAGTCGGAAACGGTAATGTTACCGGTGGTATTGAACATGAAGATGGAAGAAGAAGAGGTGCAGGAGACTGATTGTTGGTAGTTAGAGTCGTTTGTAATTGATGTTCATCACATCGTTGTTCTTGCTCTTCAATTTGCTGTTGTTGTGCCTGTGATGTAATACTATCTGGAGCAAATTCTAGTTCGTCGAGTTGCCTCTCTAAAACATCAAACACAATTGAGAAGAGCTTTTTTAATGTCGATCAAATACTCGAACAAAGACATCCACGACGTCGTTTGTTGGTTGGAATCGGCAGTTGATGATCTATAGTCGATACAATGATTGCTTAAAGATATAAAAAGAGGAAAAATTCGGGATGTGATCTACCTTTTGATTCACAACGTGGATGACATGTTACAGCTACATGAGTATGCTCATCATTTGTGTCCAATGCATGATTATCACGTTGTTGATCTACAGTTCTGATTAGAAGATCTTCTAGTATAAAAATTGCTTACCTCTTCCTATCGTAGTTGGTACTATATCTGTACTATAATCATCATCATCATGGTCATTATCTAGAAATGCCAAACAGTGGAATGAAAATAAAATTGTATTCGTAAACTCACCCGTTCGCTGTCGTTTTCTCGAAACCGGTGGAGAATCTTCTATGGCTGTCGGTCTGTTGACTTTGTTATTTGTGTGTTTACCGTGTCGTGTTTTAGCATCCATCATTTTCGTTTGAACGAATTGTGTGAACCCATTGTTAGGGTGATTCTCTTTTTCAAAGTCATCATCTGATCGGTCGATATCATGCGTATGCTTTTGAACTTGATTATTTGCTTGTCGAATAGATGCACGTTGTGGTTTACCGTTTAAAATCTTCCTCTTTGAAACCTTCGTTCGTGAATTACGACGTATTCGCTTCGATTTTGTAATGGTCGATGAACCTTTCAAGTCACATGGAACGACCATTGTCTATAAAATAGAAGAGAACATACACACATGCATATGTTTGCATCTTAGTTGAGTTTATTTATTGAGGAATTGGAAATTGAATTTCTCTGTTTCTTTTTGTGTACAAATACAAATCAGAAAAGAAAAGAAAAGAAAAACCAGGAAATCTGAATAGTTTATATCATAATTATTAACAGAAAAAAAAACTAATTAATAGTAGGAAACAAAGAGATAGAAGAAGAAGAAGACAAAACCTCACAAACGCGCATACAAAAAGACAATAACAAATATTCTTTAAAGTTGCGTCTTTTCTCAATACTGTATTGAAGTTCATTGATTTGTATAATACCAATCGATTACACATACATTTTCTATATACAAAAAACGAGAAGGGAAGAGAAGAAAGAAAGAAAGAAAAAAACCAACAAATTTTAACATTCAGTTCCACGAACAACAGGCGATGTTAACGTTTCGTACTTGGCTGGTGGAAGGAAAAATGGTGAGTTTGGAGAATTTTTCTGGAGACTATTTTGTCTTAGTTTCACAAGACCTGAACGTATCGTATCACCGTTTGGCAGGCAAACAACATCGGATTGTCCTATACCAGAGTCCGAGGATGATACAAGACGTTCTTCGTAGAGATATGATGAATTATCTGAACTTCCGTTATTTAGACGTGTACGTGAATTCGAACGCGAGCGTGGTTTGGGTAACGGCATGGGGTTTTTATCGAGATTTTCTGGAGGTATACGAATCGAACCTAAGGTCGAATAACGTGGTTTGGGTGGAGGTGGTGCGCGACGTTTTGTCGAGGAAGACGAAACAAGAAATGAGCCACTTTCGGACATAACATCAGTTGTAGTCGAATAAACCGGTGAGTCATCTTCGTCTTCGTTATGGTCGTCTGTGTCATGCGTTAGTTTTCGTGGAGATATGAGAGTACTTGTCGGAGAAATGGGACCGTATTTATTGTCATTTGAATTACCATAGAATTTATTATTAAATGTACGTGCTCGTGTTGGTACTGCATTAAGACTATTTGTTATTGATTCTTGGTCCACATAGTGAACATTGGCTGATTGTTGAGGTTTTTGTTGATGATAAACAGAAGGAGAAGAGGGATGATGAGAATATTTACCATTTAAATGAGTAGGAATATCATAAACAGCTCCATTCTGAAACAAGTAGCGATAAGTAAACGATGACGTTGCCATTAAATGACTATATAAACTTACTGGATGATGTCTATCGCCACCATTAAGAGCCAAATGAGTATCATCTAAAAGAGAAGCGATTTTCAGGACCAGTGAATTGAAATTCGAAAGAATTTACCAGTGATTGGCTTCAATGATTCGCTCTCGGCTGACGAGCGTGGATATTCTATAAAAGGAAAAAGCAGACGCATATTATTTTGTTGTCGGAACAATTAGTTCAGTTGTCGTTTCGTCAAATATATTATGAAATAATAGCGCAAAAGGAACATGCAGAAGATCATGCGCGATGTCGAATTTTTATGTAAATACAAAGCTAATAGTTGATAAACCTACGCCGAAGAAATATTAGGTAGAGGAAGAGAAGAAGTAGATTGAATTTGATGTACAGAGACAAGATGTGATTTTTCTCTTGCCACAGGTAATACTGAAGGATGATAGTGATAGTTTGCGAAATGTTTATTTACTAAGAACGAAGGTTCGAAAGTAAACGAACGGTTACTTACTATCTTTTTGATAGAAATTATTCCGATTTGAAATTTTTGTTCGATCGCGATGACATGTTCCACAGAGACAACAGAGAAAGAAGAATAGCACTGCACCACCGAAGATGCTGCCAATGACGACAAGAATTTTCTTATTGAAAAATGGTGTTTCTTTGCGCACTAAAATCAGACTTTAAAAAACTCAATCGAAAGATTCTTTCAAACTCACCTGTCGGCTGATTCAAGTGAATAACATATCCAAAGGTATTGATGGGCAATAGTCCATAACGATTAAATGCAGCCACACGAAATTCCACTGGTTCATGGAATGTTTCCAATGCAAAAATACAAGATTTTGTTCGAGCTTCTTCTTTGAACATCTTCTGATTATCTTTATCATTGTATTTAAACAATATACATGTATAACCATCACTGTCACCTTGAGCATAACTTTTCGTACAAGTAATTGTTGTAGTTGTATTCGATGTATGAGTATCAATAACACAGTGAGTAATGGCATCTGGTACACCTGCAAAAAATCATTTGATTTTGATATAAAACTGAACTAAATACGAGATAGCATGAGAAGAAGTCATTCTTCAATTATGATTCACTAGTACGATATAATTAGGGAAATCTATTGCGCCCTAGCACGTCAATGCCAAGACAAAACCGTTCTGTGTATCTCGTAATGAATTCTATGATTAGAAATCAGTTGTGTTCAGGCCAACATAACCGATGGAATTCGTTTCAAGAGAAGAATTTTCTCTTCAATTAGATCTGAATTTGCGTATGAACCGATAGCTAATATGAAACGAAGCAATTTTCCCATTCATTAGCATTTATACTATTATATTAGAAGAAATGATGTACCATACACAAATGTCTTTTCAAATCTCGCATAGCATGTGATGCAAACTGGCGGAAGATGAGTTTCGTGATTGTCAACGCAATTACTGTAGTCTGACTAAGATTAACAACGTGTTAATTATACAATAATCGATAGGAAAGACAGAAAATGATGTCGTGTGAAATATTCAAAAAGACAAATCTTTACAACGTAAATCGACTGACTTTCAGCTCGTCTAATAACACGTTGGTACGTTTTTGTTGCTCACATATGTAAATTATCGGGTGAAAAGTCCTTGATATTTTAATGCTATTCATAGTCGTAATTACAAATAACTTTATCACAAAATAAGAAATTTACTTCAAACAAAAACGAGATCAAAAAGACTTAAATTAGTAACAGCTCTTAATTAGACACTGAAAAAAAAGGAATTTTCTTACCTCCATGAATTAATTCGTATGTGCAAGTATCATAACCAATGCTATTATTCGCAGTCACATTAAACGGACGAAATTGTTCGATTGATGTAGGTGTTATATCGAATGTGTAATACATCTGAGTTGGATCACCATACGTTCGATGAATAATGGATGATGGTAAACCATTGATTGTATAACGTATGTAAGTTGGATTAGCACGTAGAACAGTACAATTAATAGTACGTGTTTGATTGATACCTAAGTAGATTTTTCTGGATCGTTCGAGAACAGTTGGCCGAACTAGATTAAGAAAGGGAATTAGAATGAGAATTTTTCAAGAAGATAAATATTTACATTCGATGTAAAGTTGTTTTATTGATGTTAAAACGAGCTTTTCATCAATTTGTTTCATGTCAACACGACATGTAAGATTTCGTCCATTGTCGGCTGGTGTCAATCCAGCAATACGATAAGCTTCATAAACAGTCGGTCTAAATTGATTATTGATAGTTGATGGTACTTGAATACCACCAGCTAACGCCATAATTGTCGGTCCCGTACCGTTTCTATCCAAGGCTATGTCAAGAGCAGGACGAGGAGAACCATCAGCAGCACAAACAATGTCTAGTGGTTCACCTTCAACCATAACTAAACAATTGCCGTTATCAATCCCGCATAAATCATTTGTACGGGTTCGAGATGTCACATGAAGATTACTTAAATACACATGTTGAACTGGAGCTGAAAAAATAATAAAATTATGGCTTCAGTTTCAAAGACATCCTTCGATAGCTGCATCAATCACTCATCGACGTCCACTTCTTTTTTTTTCTACAATAACATTAAAAGTAGTTTATCTTGTTCTAATCATCTACCGTCTGAATACAATTGCTTGACTGAGAATAAATTGACTGTCTAACAAGTTGTGTTCTGTCTCTCTCTCGCGTTCTTTTTTTCGGATCAATATAAAAAATGATATACTATCAAATGATGACGATAATGATCATGGTTATATAATTGCAGTTTATCTTTTTCACTTTATTCAACTGATTAAACTTACTATAAACTTGAATTCTTTGCCATTCTGTATCATCTTGTGGACATTTATACAGTCCACTATCATCTTCATTAACATTTTTTATTCGTAGTAAACTTGTACGATATGGATTGGAAAATCGATCATCTTTACTCGGTTCAACAATTAGGTTCTTTTTGCCGTCGAAACTTCGGTATTCGTAAGCGAAAATGGACGTAGAACGATTGTCACATAATTCTGCCGTATCACCATGTTTCACATAAAGTGTACTTTGTTGTCCGAAAGTAAGATGTACGATAACAGAAAAGAAGAATAGAGAAGATAAGAACATCAGATCATTATGCATCGTTCATCTAAAATTAGAGAAACACTTTATCGTACATATATATATCAACAAAAGACGATCGAATGTGTGTCTATGCATACAAACTAGTTAGTTCGGTAGCATTCGACATTAACAAGAAACTGAAAGAGGTTCGAGGTAATCATACTCGACTATTACTTCCAGGAAAGATAAAAATGAAACTAATTATCTAAAGCAAATCGTCGATTGCGAACCTTGGAAATGTGAGACTAAAGAAAAGAAGAATGTGATTCAACTCGTTAGTTGTGCGCTTTGTGATTATCAGCTCTATCCTTGACGAATATTGACCATATAATACCATGAGCAAAAAAACAGAAGACACACAAAAGATCCATTGGTTTAGACACGACACTTAAAACTTCTCTTACGCTCCACCATCAATAATTGGCGCCGACAATTATACGCCACACGTACTCGCGCAAATGCGTGCGTTCAACATTATATTTTCCTGGTGGTCGCGCGCGTATTATGATTGTTTGCAGGAGCAGTTGGAACAGCAGAAACAAGAAAATGATGATGATGACAAAATGTTGACCGTTCATATTACACAATAGTAAGTGTCAATGACATAGGCGCACGCGAACTGAAGGAAAAGAAGAAAAAAAATGCGAGTTGCGACGTTGGTGAGTGGCACGATAACATGATTATGTACA